AGACATGGAGTCACCCAGCGCCAGGCCAAAAACCACACACTGAAGCCTCTCAGGCCAAAGCAAAACATTGCATAATGAAGATTTCTTCGTGCACATCTGCTTGACAGTCTTCCAGCCGCATTCTGAAGAAAACTGTTCTAACAGTCAGCAGTTTAAATATAAAACATTTCCACACATTCTGTTAGCGGAGTACAATTGAGTAACGCCCTTCAGCTCAAACCTCTCTTTCTGAGATGTCGCAATCTTCGTTTCCCCCCAGCGCGTTCCAGTGAGAATCGCGCCAACCTGTTTGTCTTCCCACGGCCTCCACTGGGAAGCTGAGGCCGTGAGATCTCAGCTCTCGGGGCCTGTAACGCGCTGAGCCCGCACCCGAGGAGACGTCCCAGCCGCGAGGCCATGCCGTGACTCACAGCGGGACCGTCCTCCGTCCCCTGCTGAGGCCGGGCCGCTCCGCAGCATTCGCGAGGCCAGAAGAAATCCCGTGCGACGAAGGCAGGGGCTGTCACCTCCTGCTGGGGACTCTCCGTTGGGAGCGCGATTCCTGGACACTGGCTCCGCTCTCAAAGCTTTTAACGCATTTTCGGTTATTTCTGAATGTGAAATGTGTTGTGCTCGGGCAACTCAGGCATTTACCAACGAGCCTGAACACCCCCCTCTGTCTCATCTCTAGATACAAACTGGACTTCGCAGTGCTCTGCCTCCCCACGGGCAGCAGCGGGTGGGTTGTGGGTTTAAATATACTAAAGAGAGCGAGCTACTTGAATGCTACCTAGGGAATTATTACCAATAAGTGTGTAGCATCCAGAAATCCCAATCCCTATGATTTATCTACCAATTTTAACAATGCTAATAAGTTGTGCGCTGAACTGGTGACATGTTGGGAAACTCTCATGGAGGGATCATATCTGACAGGAACAACTAAACGACAAGACCCTCACTCTCTCGAGTGAGGACAGGAGTATCAGCACGTCAGGCTCGTGACCCTTCCTATCACTTAATGCACCATCCCACATACCAAAACATGGAAACTAAAGAAAGCCCAGCCAGGACATGGTAATTTGCCTTCTGAACACAGGACAATGCAACATCCGTGACAGAGCACACTTCAAGAGGAATATGAACAGCACACTCGTAACCACTAGCGAGAGCGAGATCCGTGCCCTCAATGCACGACGAACGTACCTTGCTGTACACGCGGGAACCCGGCGATGGCATGGCACAAAATTAACAGCTGGAGCAAGTGGGAATGGAAGCATTTCAGGCTAACTTCTGTTTCGGAAGGTCTTCACGTTTCCAGACTAGGCTGTTCTAGTCTCTCACCTATTTTTTGTGTGAAATGTATGCCTAGCAGACTGGTCACCAAGTGTCAGTAACACGCAGCCAGCTCGCAGCTGTCTCACGTGAGAAAGAACGAAATGCATCCCTGTATCAATGTGTCTTTAGCCAACGCAGCGACAGGGGACAGCAGCTCTCCAAAGCCCCAGAAAAGATGCAACCAACCTTGGTGAACTGGTGAACAATGATGTGCAGGCAGTGCCTCTTCATGTCCAGGGCCTGGGTCTTGTCGGCTGCCTCCAAAATCTAGAGCAGAAGCAACAACGTGATCTTCCTTCTGCACAGCTCAGATGTGCAGTGCACAAGCACTGTCCTGACCCAGAGCAGGTAACTCCTCTGAGCCAGGGAAACGTCTCCCTTTTTCACTACAAACCTGAATCTGTGCTGAACTATTCAAAAA